GCTCACACTGAGACATATGCTCTCCTCTCACCTGCAGAGGTACCCACTACAGTGGCTCTGTATTTTCTCAAACTGAAGTGGGGAATCTGCCGTGCACAGTGAAAATATCCTTGCTGCAGAATTATTCTTCTCATAACTGCAGTTTTGCTTAAATCCAGTGTTCTCCACATTGGGACAAAACCCTGGATTTTGCAGATCGGAATGGCAATCTCCTTCTCCACTGTAAGCACAAGTCAGGCAACCTGATCCAGACTTGGCATTTATGAATGGCTGCGTCCCATATGCTTGGCCACTGTGTCACAGTCTAGAACGCAAGACAGAAAGAAATAATAGTGCTTGTTAATGCTTCTGAATTGCTGGAGATACCCCACAGTGTCCCTTAATAGCTCCAAGTTCCAACTAAGCAGTTATCCCCTATTTCCTAGCTGAAGAGGGGGTGCAGGTGTATGTGTTGGTCTGTTGTGACGGGGGGGGAGGCAAAGAACCGTTACTGTCATCAGGATCTTTCTCTCTAGAGATCCTGTTTGGGGTAGCAGATCAGTTACTTTGTAGGTGTGCCTTTGTGCTTCCGCCTGTATATTTCGAAGTAAAGCAAATGCGAGGAGTGGTTTTGGCTCCAGAGGGGCCGGGGAGGGGATATTTAAAGAGATCTGCCCGGTGGCACCGGCGTCCCGCCCCGCCCCCACAGCCCCCACCGCGAAAACTCGCGCCTCATCTCCCAGCAACCTTGTCGCAGGCGCGAAGGGTCATTTTGGCTCCAGAGGGGCCGGGGAGGTGATATTTAAAGAGATCTGCCCGGTGGCGCTGGCGCCCCACCCCCGTGGCCCCCCAAAAAACTTTCCCGCCCCCTCTCGGATCCGCCGACTGCCCCTGAGTTCCTGAGGGTGAAATATGCTCTTCGCGCCTCATGGTTTTGGCTCCAGCGGGGCCAAGGAGGGGATATTTAAATATATCTGCCTGGTGGCGCTGGCGCCCCGCCTTCCGCGCCCCCCAAACTTTCCCCGCCTCCTCTCGGCTCCGCTGGCTGCCCCTGAGTTCCCAAGGGCCAAATATGCTCCTCGCGCGAGGAGTGGTTTTGGCTCCAGCGGGGCCAGGGAGGGGATATTCAAAGAGATCTGCCCGGTAGTGCCAGCTGTCATGCCTGCCCTTGACTCAGCCCCAGATCCAGCTCCTGACAGCCTAAGAGGGGAGGATTCAGCGCCTTTAAGAGCTGAAGAAGCATCAGGATCTGCACCTATTGTAAGTACTGAGGAGGCTACACAGCAATCTGAGTAAACTACAGGACGGTTGAGCAGGCCATAAGCAGCTCACTACCTGCATCTCGCACACCTGTATGTAGGCTTAGGGATCAGAGACGTCAGGAGCTGGCTAGCCGACAAAAAGAAGCACGTTCAAGAGGGCGGAGATCCTTGAGCCCTGAGTTTTAACAGCAGCCAGGACCTCGCACAAAGGTGCTAATGAGTTAATGGGCCAGAGCACTATTTAGTAGGGCCTCTGGCCATGAGCAATTTGTGCTGGCAACCTCGTTCGTAGAACCAGAAGCTCTGCACCCCCCTCCTTCCTGCCACCCCACTTCCGGCCCTCATTCAGCCAGGAGGAGGCAGGAGAAGAGGGAGGGTAAGCTACTTCCTCCCCACCTCCTCTTGGCTCCGCCGGCTGCCCCTGAGTTCCTGAGGGCCAAATATGCCCCTGAGTTCCTGAGGGCCAAATATGCTCCTCAAGGTGACAAAGTCACTGGGAGACGAGGCGCGAGGAGCACATTTGGCCCTCAGGAACTCAGGGGCATATTTGGCCCTCAGGAACTCAGGGGCAGCCGGCGGAGCCAAGAGGAGGTGGGGAGGAAGTAGCTTACCCTCCCTCTTCTCCTGCCTCCTCCTGGCTGAATGAGGGCCGGAAGTGGGGTGGCCGGAAGCAGGGGGCAGGGCTTCGTCGTGTGCCCCGCCCCCACACCTCACCCAGGGGAACGGCGATCCCCCGCGATCCTCCCGAATCGACCTCTGGCTGGCTCACAGTTTTTTAGCCTCTGGCTCACACATTTTTGTCTTAGCTCAGGAACGATGGCTCCAGAGCAAACTAATTTATGCAGTAGCCAAATTGCTTGCTCACAACTTTAATGCCAGTAGCTCACAAGGTAGAATTTTTGCTCACAAGACTCCACAGCTTAGAGGGAGCATTGGTTGGGAATGGTGTATTTTTATTCGGTTTTAATAGTTTTTAAGATGTGGGGTTTTTAAATTATGTATGAGCTGCGTTGGTGGCCCTGATCAGGGTGGAGAGGCAGGGTATAAATCTTGTAAAGAAATACAGAATAAATAAATAGCTGGTCATGGCTGAATCTAAAAGACTGGTGGGTTATTAATCAGGAGTTTTGCAATTCCTAGTCTTACTTCTGCCTGAATCCACATGGTAGCCTAACAGTGCAATCCTAAGAACACTTTCCTGGGAGTAAGCCCATGGAACCAACCTGAGTAGGATGGCACTGTTAGACAATCTGCCCTATCGTCTTCTGTAATATGAAGCAAATACTGCTGACCAACCTTACCAGGTTGTTGTAATGGTGACAGTAAAAATGTGATCCACTTTAAATGCTTGAAGACAGTGAACTGAATCCTACCAGCTTTTCCACTGGCAGACGGGATGGGGAGGCTCCTTTTGATCCCTTAGGATATGTTAAGGATCATGGGATCCACATGGATAAAAGCCTTGTGAGATGGGGCTGTAGTGAGGAGAGGCTGTGGGTATGGTTGAGGAGAGAAGCTGATATGATATACGGTACTGGTTGATGCTAAGTATTTTAAGTATCAAGCCAGTTTCCGGTCTGAAGAAGAGGGAACTGAAATTAGATGAAAAGTTCAAAAATTTACATGTTGATATTGACTAGGGCACTGCTCATGTTCTAGAGTCCAAGGAACTTGTTGGAATAATGGGTTTCTTTAGTGAAAATTAGGATCTCTTTTTACCCCTGTGATCAGCTCTCCTATCTCTCAGAAGGCTTTCGGGGATTTAACCTTTGGCACATATAGGCATACTGCTCTTTCTTTACTTTGGGCTTCAATCTTTCATCGCACAAAAAAGAAGAAACAATTTAGGGCTTATTAGGCCACCTACTACTGAAGGACCAATCCACACGTGTGTGTATAAAATTTGAACCCAGCACTTGGTTGCTCAGTGACCAACAGTTGAATGTGTGAACCATTGCCATCCAAACTTAGCTGAGGCCAGGTATTTATCTTTTGTTTGGGGTTTTCAATCTGTGTTGACTGAAATCAGGCCGCTGTCTTTCCCTATAAAACTTTTCAAAGGTCTCCTGGACACAGTAAAGAGCAACAGCCAGGTTGCTTTCTAAGAAATAGCATAACAATGGTCAGGTTGTTTGGTAGAAATACAGTGGATCATGTTACTCTGTTCAATATACCGTTAAAAGCTGAAATTGCTGTGTGTGCTAGTAAGGGGCGATAATGACCATTGGGCATTAGTGATCTGTTTTCCAGTGCCATATTTCCAATTAAACTAATTAGAAGGTGACTAGATACCTCTGATTATATAGCAACCCCGCAAAATCCCTTGATGTTATGTTTGTTTTGCACTTCTGACAAGCTGAATGGCAGGATTGTCGTTGCTTTGCTAGGTTAAATGATGGCAGCCTTTACAGGTCAATGATATAAACAGATGTGGCATGTAAGTTTTCTTTTTCACATGCACATAGACTAAACATTGTGCTGGCTTCCAAATGATCGGAAAAAAGAATGATTGAAGTCTTTCAAAATAAGAAACACGTTAGTAGTTCCTCTTTCCTTTACATATCAAATGATTCCACCCACCCCCCGCTTGTTCTTGTGTCAAGTCAAGATCAAGATGGATAGTTATTTGAAATTATTATTTAAGAATATGCTAACTGATGCTACACACTTGATTGACAGGGCAAAATTGAAACCATGGGACCTTTAAAGACATTTGGAGATAAAAGTAAGACATAATGGTATAAGAAACATGCTATTGTAGAAAGCTAATTTTTTTCCCCAATCATAAGCTTTTCATGGCAGCTAAAATTAATGGAAATATTCAACAGTGGGCTTTATTTGCGATCAAAGAATTTAATTTGAAGGATGTACCATAAGAAGAAAAAATGTTTTAATTTTGTTTAATATGAGCTTTACATAAGCCAATAAATCATAATCAGGTCTCTAGATTAAACTATTCAGTATCATAAATTTCTGATACTTGCCTAAAACTTTATAGAGTGTATATTTGAAACGGAATTTAATGTATGCATTGCATTTTGCATTTATTTATATCTTGCTTGTCATCCCACTGGGGACACATTTGCTCTCCCTCCCTTCATTTTCTTGCAACAACAACCCTGTGCAATAGGTTAGGCAGAGAAAACGTAGGCCCTTTCTTGCAACGACCCTGTGCAATAGGTTAGTTAGGCAGAGAAAACGTAGGCCCTTTCTGCACTCTCCTTTTAATCCATGTTCACCACGGTATACTCCAAAGAATTCTGCACTAAAATCAAATTCAACTTTCTTTATAAGCCAGGGTCTCCCCCCCCATCCTGCACTAACATTGAGTTCAACCTTCTTTTTATTCTGGGTTCCCCCCCATATTACATGACCTCCCTTCAGTGGTCAGCCCAGTTTCAGCCTGCTGTTGCCCCGGGTTATTTGGATGCTGTTTTGCCGTGGACTTAAACTGCCTCGACTTGAACACTGAGAAAACCCGGAGTGGCTGGCAAATGTGGAAAGGACCGTAGTCACATTCCAACACTCAGCGAGCTTCCATAGTAGAAGTGGGGGTAAGAACTTGGGTTTCTCAGGATTCTAGTCAGACACTTTATCCACTATGACATGCAGGCTCCCAATGCCGCCCTGAGCCTCAGGGTTAGGGCGGGATACAAATCTAAGGATAAATAAATAAATAAAACATTGCAGGATGAAATATGAAGAAACTTCTTCCAGTCATTATCTAGTATAAAATTTATTTTTGATATATTTGCTAACATGTCAGTCCTAAACAGCATCTTTGCTTCTGTGCTGCCGTTGGCAGATTCTAGTAAGACAGTCAGTAATAGATTGGTAAGTAGCCACTGTATCTTTAAATCCTTATGCATGCTGGGAGATGTAGTTTGAGTATCTTTTAGGTCGCATGTCTCTACGTTAGCTCACTCTATCGGCTCAAGTTTAGAAGTGCGAAAAGGGTTTATTGCTCTCTTCCTGTGTCTTTGTCCTACTCTCTTTACTGGCAAGGAGAGGCATGAAAGCAATCTCTTTCCACCACAAGATCTGAGAAAATAGACTCTGCCCTTCAAGATGAACTGTGTTGCTCAGCCTGCTGACAGAATGTGAGTTCTGACCTCTGAACCTTTCTGCAGTAGAATAAAAATCAGTTTCTCCTTTTCTATGAGTTACTTTCTTGGACTTGTGTGTTTGACCACTTATCTGGCAGATAGACTTCATCCACTCTGTTCTTGAAACCAGAATAGCTTCCAAACAGAATAGGGTTGCCAAGTGGATTTTCGTCGGGAGAGGGGGGCTCCCGGCCAGCGTCTGTTGCGCGCCGCATGCACGTCACCCGGAAGTGACGTGACGACGCCAGGCACACTGGGGGGAGGGCCATAGCCATACGAGGGAAAACCATAGAGTTTTCCCTTGGATTTATTCCCCCCCCCCACATTTATACCCCGCCCTCCCTGATGGGCTCAGGATGGCCGTGGCCCCGCCCCCAGTGTGCCCGGCGTGGGCGCGTCACTTCCGGGTGACGCGCACATCGGGGAGGAGTTCCCCCCGGGGCCCAATCTGGCGGCGGCGGGGAACA